CAGGCCAGTGTCCTACCTCACCTGGGCCTCAGCCATCCCAGTTGCAAAGGGGAGTGGGGGGCAGAGTCCTCATGCTCCCTGCTTTGCCTCAGCTTGGGACGCCCCCAGTGGGGCTCCTGCCACAGACCCTCCCTGCTCCCATGCGAGCACTGTCTAGCCCGGATGGGGCTTGAGTGCTCGTCTCAGCCCCCGCCCCTCCATGAGAGGATGCACGAGAGGCCAGAGGGCTTGCCCGAGGCCCCCCCCCCAGCATGTTCTGACCCATGTCACTGGTGGAGAGGTGGGTGGCTGAGCCATCTCAGTGGCAGGCCACGGGCACCCCGGGACCCCGCTGAGGTCCTCACTCCTCTGAGGGTCCTCACCCGGGTTCCTGAGTGGGAGACACTGGGGCATCCCGTGAGGCCTGAGGAGGGGCCGAGGCTGGGGGCCGTGGAGGGCTCAGCAGAGCATGGCCGCCGCTAGCCGCCGCCGGGGCACCATCACCCCAGCCAGCTGCTTCCACCCACTGGGGAAGGAGGCCTGCCACCCGGCCTAATGGCTGGCTCCAGGGGCTGTGCGGGGCAAGACCTCAGAACGCTCCCAGCATGAGCTGCTTTCCCCGTCCGCCTCTTCCACTCTCGGCTTTGTTCTCCCGTCTCCCCAAATGAAAGGCTTAAAGCCCAAGGCTCCCCCTGCGAACATGCTAACCCTCTAAATGCCGGGCAAACTCAGGAGCCCCTCTCTGACCCAGGGCTCCAAAGGCCAGGCCAGGGGACAGGGCTCAGACTGCCCCTCGGGCTGCCCCCCCAGGCCTGGGCTCCCTGGGCCTGCTGGCCCCCAGTGACCCTGCACGAGCACCCAGGCATCCCTTAGCAGCTACCACCTTGGGGTCTAAGTGTCTGTCTGTAGGGATCCTCATCCTGGTCCTCCCCTCCCCTCTCCTCCATCCCCTCTTCCCCCTCCCACTCCCCCTCCTCTCCTCCCCTTCCCCTTCGCTCCAGAAGAGCCCATGTCTTTCAGATGAGGAAGGAGCGGGAGCAAAGCCCAGGACAAAGCTTTCATTTCCTTCTAGGGAGGAGGACAGAGGGCAAAGGTCCCCAAAAGGAGGCAAACACCACCTGGCACAGGACAAGGGGCAGGAAGACAGAGTGGGCCTCTGGGCTTCCGGCTGAGTTCTCAGGGAGGAGCCCCCACGTGGAGTCTGTGTGAGGATGTTCCAGTGACTCTCACTGGCAGTCCCCCCTGAGTCTGTCTGGAGCCTGACCCTGTGGCCGCCCCCATGGGCCACCTCACCACACCTTACCCCTGGTTACTGCTCTGGCCTCCCCTGGCCGCTGCCTCCCACTGCAGCCTCTCTGGCCTCCCGCTTCTCCTGCCGCACCTGCCCACTCTGCTCAGCCACACTGGCCTCCCCCCTGTTCCCCACCTCGGGACCCTTTGCGTGGCTGTTCCCGTGGCCAGAGGGTCCTCCCCCAGATACCCATGGGACTCACCTTCTCACCTCCTTCAGGATTTTAACTAATGTCACTTTCTCCTTTCTCGACAAGGCTGTCCCTAATGTCCCTAATGGCCTCCCTCCCGCACTCCCTCTGCTCACCACCATTTGCATACTGTAAACTTCCTTAGTGTTTGTTGACTGGGGGTCTCCCCTGCTGGAATGTAAGCGAGGACTGTGTGGGTCCAGCCCCAGAGCCTACCACAAGGCCTGCTCCCCAGCTGGGACTGGATGACTGGGGGGTGGGGGAAGACCCAGGACTAGAGGGACTAGGGGACAGTGGGGCCACCTCGGGGGCCATTGTGATGCTCCTGGGACCATAAACCTCCGGTTTATGTGCAAATACACTGAGCGCAGCTTCTAGACCCCACTTAAGCCAGGTTCTCAAGGGGGCCACAACCCAGCCCCTCTGCAGTTCCAAAGCAGGGAGCAAGGGCCTCCTGGATTCTAGTCTAGAATCTTCCCTTGAAGGCTCCCCACGTCCCTGTTAGGAATCTTCCACAAAAACAGAAGTTTCTGGCCTGGGACTCCTGGGACGCCGTGGGCTGCCTTCCATCCCAGAGCCTCCTGAAAATGCAAGGAAGTGTGGCATGTGTGCGTGAGGCCGGTGGGTGTGTGGGGAGAAAATAGAACGCACGGTGTGTGTCCCAGGGAGATTGTTCATGGTTTTCAGTGCGTGTTACCAGGGCTGGAGGGGACGAAAAGGGGGGTTCTCTGCAATAATGAGAAGCTTTGTCTTTCGCTGCAGTGGAAAAGGTGGGAGGACCCGGGGATCCCTGCGGCTCAGTTTCTCCATCTGCACGACAGGATGGGTGGGCGGGGGCCGGGACTGAGAGAGCCTTTAGCAGCTGGTGGGGGGCGAGGGGCAGAGAATGTTCAGTGCCTGTCTGTGCCGGGCATTTGGAAGCCAGTGGTCACGATGTGCTGCTGACGCCTGGCGCGGGATGCGCGTGGGGGGCCCAGAGGCCAAACCTCCCATAGCCTGGAGGATGATCCTTAGCCGTGGAGACTGGTCCTGCCGAAATGCCCCCGTGGAAAATCCTGGCACCCTGCGGTGGTCTAGCTGCTCTGTGCAGAGCAAGCCAGAGCCGGCCTGCTGCGGCCCATCGGCTACCTGGGCCTCCCGCCGCCGCGCAGCTCGGCGAGGCTGGTGCTGTTTGGGACCACAGCCCGGGGGCCGCGCAGCCCAGTGGACTCCCCGCGATGAGGAAATGAATGCTGTACGTCTGTGCCGGGTAGAGGCCACGGCCCCATGTAGCCACGGAGCGTTTGGAATGTGGCAGGTGTGACCGAGAACCTGAATGTTTCCTTTTATATCCTTTTAATTCGCTGGAAATTAAGCTTGAACGGCCACATGAGGCTAATGGCCACCAGACAGCACAGCCCGGCAGCACCCCGGGGCCCAGGCAGACACCCCTGGTTGGAGGCTGCGGACTGAGGATACCTCCCCGCCCCCACCTCCAGACCCTCCCAACATTGATCCTGGGTGAGCACACCTCAGCCCGGGACTCAGGGCACTTCACAGCTGGTGGGTCCCCTCTACCCTGGCAGCCCCTGCCCCTCAAAGGGCAGCAAGGGAGACAGGCCCAGAGAGGGAAAGCACCTCGCCCAGGGCCACACAGCAGAGAGAGGAAAGAGAGCGCAGGCTGCTAGACCCTTGCTCTTCCACCACCCAGCTGTTCAGAAGAGCCTCGAGAGTGATTGGAGGGACTTGGCCAAGGCCGCACACTCGCCCTGACAGGCTGTTTTCAGTAATAAAGCGTTTCTCCCACAAGCCCTTGCTGAGTCCTCTGGGTGACCACGGCACCTAACTGGGGGGTCTGTGTGCCTCAGTTTCCCTTTCTGTCAACAGGAGCAGGAACAGCTGTGCTGTGGGTCTGCTGGGCGTGCTGGCACAGGAACAGGGCTGCAGTCATCCAGGTGGGGCGGGGCTGCGGGACCCGGGAGCAGGGATGGGGCAGCGTGCAGGCAGAGGTCCCTGCAGGAGGAGCGCAACCGGCTGTTCCCAGCGGGCAAGAGGATGACCAGCCTGAGAGGGTGAGAGTGAGTGAAATGGGGGGGGGGGGGGCTGGTAATGTGGGCGGTGGAAGTTTCTGGAACTGGGTGTGATTCCCCAACACCACTAATCCTCCGGGAACCCTGGGTGAAGCATTTCTCCTCTGGGGAGATTGGAAGGCTGCAAGTGCCTTGGGGGGTAGGGCTTAGGAACCAAGTGATGGTGGCCAGGAAGGGCTCAGTGGGTGCGAGGCTGGCCCACTGTGGCCTGTGGGTCTCCCTGGCACCCTCTCCCACAGCCCTGGGCTGACCAGGACTCTTGTCCTGGCTGGCAGTCATCACGGTCAAAGGACAGAGGTCTGGTTGGGCCTGAAGACGAAGGCCCAAGGCTGGGCATGCTCCAGGCCGCTCTCCCGAGGCCTGCCCTTGCAGGGAGGGGCCTCTCCTCCACCTCACCTGTCACCCGAAGCTATAAGGATGACAGAGGGCCGGCCGGCTCTCCAGCCTCCATCGGGGCTTGGCATCTCACAGTGATCACACCCTGTGACTTACAGCGCGGGAAGCCATGATTTATACAACGCAGTGCAGAGCGTCTGGGCCAGTTTGTCCGCGTCTATAATGAAGTGGCTCTCAGAAGAAGAGGCAGCCGCTTCGCGGACGTTTTCTGAGGGGGGAGGACGGGGAGGCCCATCCATCACCCTCTCACTCCCCTGGAGGCTGTGCAGCGTTTTTGCTGAACCGGCTGAACAGAGTCGCATCTGTTACTCCCTGCAGAAATCATCAAGGAGCCAAACTTGGCCATAAACGGGAGGCAGCTCAGAGGGGACGAAGGTGGAGGCTGACCTGGGAAGCATGAGGCATGTTCCAGCTCAGCCACGGGGCAGAGTGCCTGCCGTGGAAAGGAGGCTCGGACAAGGCTTTCTCCCACGGGGGCAGCGCCACCCTGTGCCGGCCATCACTGAGCACCGGCCCCATTTGATGGATGAGAAAGCTGAGGGTCAAGGAGCTGGATGTTCCGGCAAGAGATGGAACACAGCACTTCTCACGCAGGCCTGAGTCTGGAGCCCAGGCCCTTACCCACCTGTTCCACTGCCGCCAAGGAAAGCAACCCTGGGGCTGATAATTCTACTTCCCCCAAGGAGCTGGCACCCGGATCCCTGTCTGGGTCTTTGCCGACTCATCTTTCGGTGGTGGCGAGAGAGATGTTAGCGTTTTCCCTTTAGGTGGGCGAAAATATCTATTTACCCTGCAAGGGAGCAGTCTCCGCAGGCAAATCCCTAACTAGCTAAATGGCTGTCTTGCCTCCGTGGCAGAGAAGACACCCACTGTGACAAATGAGCCACTCTGCAGGGAAATGTTTAAGTAGCACGTGTACCCACAGCACACCAACACAGATCGCCATCGACAGGGGGCTGGGGACGCGGGGGCCGGGTTAGGGGGTCTGCCCCATGGCCAGGCATGGCTCCCGTCCTAGCGCGACAGGCAGGACTTCTGGGGGTGAGGGGGTGGTGGGAGGGCGCACCGGACACTAGACCCCCAAGGTGGGTGTGGGGAAGGCATTGGTTGCCCCAGGCCCAGGTGGGTCAACAGGGAACTCTCACGGGACCCTCTCAGTCATGCAGGGGGTCCTTGAGGGGCGAACGCTAGAATGGGCCATGGTCTCAGGCAGGGGCGTTCATCCTGGGCACGCAGAGCTGTTCCAACAAGGGTCTTCACAGAATGGGGGTGCACAGAGCTGGCGTGAGCCCACAGCCACAGCATGGATGGGGGAGTGAGAGACAGCCCCCCACTCAACTTTTGCTCCCACCAATGCTGACCACAGTGGGTCTGGTGGGGCTCTGAACCCGGCTGGCTGGACACCGAGGGGTGGGCTCTTCTAGCTTGGAGATGATCTCGGGCAGGGGCTGCCGATTCCATTCACCCTGCAAAGAAAGGACCACGCAGTAAACTGAGGCTGGAGGGGTGAGACAGGGCACTGCCTTCCCGGCCACTTTCCCCCATGACCTCTTGGGTTCTTGCCCTCAAATTCACCTTGTCCCAAACTGAACTCACCCTCCTCCCCTCCGGTTGCTACTTGGGGGTCCTGACCTGGAGTCCCCCGGCCCCCCCTCGACTCCCTGTCTGTCCCTCACTTCAATCCCCACCCAGGTGAAGCAATCAGAGCCCCTGGGTGCAGGTTGAGTGCGTAGCCCCTCCTCCCCAACAAGGCTGCACTAAATGCCACTTTTACAACCACATCAGATGTCCACACCGAGTCTTTCTCGCCAGCCAGCGTTAGCCCTGCCCTTGGTGCTGGGACTGTTTGATCCAGCGATTAATCCGCTCCCAAATGCCTGCAGGAAATCTGCCTCCCAGACCTGCAGGCTTACAGATCCTTCCCCACCCTGCTCAGCACCAGCCCAGCCTCCACCAGCAGCTTGCTCGTGCTCGCTCAATCCGGAATAAATGAGATGCCTTTGAATCCCCGAGGGTCCCAGATAAAGAGACCCACCGGCCCACAGCTTCAGACTGTTTGGCTTCTCCCCTGCCCCTCCCCCTGCCCTTTATTTTTAGGCTCTGGCCGAGTTGCTGGTGCCCACCCCCCACCCCTGCTCACACCGCCCACCGAGATTAGTCCTGGGGTGTGATGCCGCCCCGCCTGGAGGTGCTATCAGTCCTTCCCTCTGCAGGCCATCTGTCTGTCTGTCTGGGGGCCTGTCTGCCACCCCCTGATTTCTCCAGGTGTTCAGAGTGAGCGCTTCCTTGCCGGCCTCACGCTGGGGTCCTCGGCGGGGCCCCGGGAGTAGAGGGGCAGCCCCCGGGGCTTGCGTACCTGGAAGCGGACAGCCGAGGACTTGTTGCAGTGCATGGAGATGGGAGCAAAGCCATACAGGGCCCTGAGCACGTCCCGGCTGAAGGAGTTCCAGGGAACCGAAGCAAACTGCTTGGGGACAGAGGCCTGAGGGCAGGTGCACACTTCCTCCTCATTGAACCTGGTGGGGAAGGAGACACAGCCCAGGCTGGGGTGGGGCCGGTGGGGTGGGGGGGGTGGGAGGGGTGGTGACACCTCCCCCCAGCCCCACTGCCGCCAGGACGCCGTCTGGGCTCTGCCTGCCCGCCTGCGATGGCCCAGAGGCTCCCTCTCTCGAGTCGCCTTGGACGGGCTGGGAACGGCTGCTCTGGGGCTGGGCCGAGGGGGCTTGTCGGGCCAAGTGCAGGCTCAGCAGGAAAAGGGCATGGGGGTCCCTGTGCCACGCCCGGGGACACTCCCATGGCCCGGCACCTGTTCACCAGGTGGAAGTACTTCTGCAGGAAGCCGGGGTCCACGGCGCTCTTGCAGAGCTCCAGCTGCGTCTGGGGGTAGTAGTGCACGTAGTTGACGCACATCTCCTCCAGGATCCCGAAGCCCCCCTGCGGGAGGGGAAGGTGCCCGTCAGGACCCGCGCTTCGCGCGCGCACGCTGCGCTCATTCACCGAGGGTTCTCAGTGAGCAGAGTGCTGCCTCCCTGGAATTCCGTCTCCCTCGGCAGGAAAGACAGACCACGCACGAACCAACAAGTCAGCCAGCAGCAACACGTGTGAGGAGGAGAACTACTACAGGGCGAGCAGAGAGGGGGACGAGTGTGCCCATTTTGTGGATACAGAAACTGAGTCCCAGGAAAGGTAAGGGGCAAGGCCTGTGTGGACACAGCCTCCCCACCTTGGCCGAGGAGGGGTCCCCTGGGGACCCAGTGAGAGCCCGGGGACTGGGACGGTAGCTGTGAAGGCCCCTGTCTCTCGGGTGTGAGGGTTGTCACACTGTGGGAAGCTCAGTCTGTCTGTTGAGAGCCGCCCTGCCGTCCCCCTCCTCGGTCCCACCAGTGACACAGGGGCCCCTGCGAGGAGGCAGCGGGGCAGCTGGGGCCGTGGCCTGAAGAACCTGGCGTCTGAGACACCGGGGTGCTCATGGGGCCTGGATATCCCGGGACGGGCCACCGGTCCCCCTCGAGGAGGCAGGTGGGGCAGGGAGCAGGGCCCTTGCAGAAGTAGCGCTGGGCGGGGGTGGGCCTGGGGGTCCCCTTCACTCTTCTGGCAAGTTGCCCCCTCCTGCCCTCGGCCTCAGTGGGTTCACTTCCAGAATGGGGAGACGCTGCCCTCCGGCGAGCGTCAGAGCTCAGAGCTCTTGGCGCCTGGACCAGCCCTGCTGCCTGCTAGCTGAGGGCCCTTGGTGGCTCCACCTCACTGTGTCCTGGTGGCACCTGCCTCACGGGGTCCCAGCAAGGCTTTGAGGGTCCCTGAGCTCGGACAGGGTGAGCTGCCATGCGGAGGAAGCACTCCACTCCAGCAGCTGTTATGTGGACTGAGCCGCTCTCCAGATAGAAGAAGGGGGTGCGGGGTTTAGGCCAGGGCTGCGCGCCTGCAGAGCACTCCTGCTCCCTGAGTTTGCACCCATGGGCACAGAGTAGTGGTCCCCCCAGATCCAGAGGGAGGGAGGAACCGCATGGCAAGAGCCTTGCAGGCACACGGCCCTGCATTAAATCCCCGCTCCGCCTGTTATCGGCTGTGTGATCTCCGGCAAGTGTCTTCCCTCTCTGAGCCTCTTCCGTCACCTGTGAAAATACAGAGACTCCTACCTTGAAGCCTGGGGTGAAACAACTCAAATGTTCATCACCGGAGAATGGATCCACGGCTGTGGTCCATCCAGACACTGGCATGTCGCTTGGCCGTGAAAAGACGAGAAATACTCGTAACAACTGGGGTGAACCCTGACGACGTGATGCTGAGAGCAAGACGCCCGTCACGAGAGGGCACAGATTCTAGGACTCCCTGTATCTGAAGGTCCAGGATGGGCAAACCCACAGAGACAGAGGGCGGGACAGTGCTTGCCAGGGGCTGGGGGGGGGGGGGCGGCGAAGGGGGGACAGTTTCTTTGGAAGGATGGCCAGTTCTAAACTTGACTATGCGGATGGTTGCACGCACCTGCGCACAGACTAAAAAGTCACTGTACTGCACACTTGAAATGGGTGAGTTGTTTGGTACGTGGATTGTATCTCGATAAAGCCATTGGAAAAACCACTGAATGAGCGCCAAAAGTGGGGTGCCGTGTGGTCGACTGGGGTCCCGGGGGCTGTAGCCCCAGGTCTGTTCCACTGGGCACGTCATGGTTCCCAGGATAACTGGGGGCCTCGGTGATGAACGAGACGATTAGCAAGCCTCTGTTGGCCGGCGGTCAGTTTGCCAGGCCAGCCCGGGCTGGTGCTGCCGACCACACGTCATTACTAACAGCACAGCCTTTCACTCTGCAGGGTGCGCCGGCCACCTGCCTGCACAGCGAGCCTCGAGGACAGTGTCTCCCAGATGGACCCTCCTCCTGGGCTACCACAGTGCAGCCCAAATGCACCATGTCACATCCCTGCCAAGCAGAGTCAGCCACACAACCTACACGGTCTGCTCTTTGCCAGAAGCCCCAAAGGGAATGGTGTCAAGACGGATTTTCTGCAGCCTGCTTACTTTTGCCATCCACAGTCTGCAGGCTTGGTACCGGAGGTCTGAGGATGTTCTGGGTCCTCGGGGCCTTCCTGCAGCCTCCCCTTTGCCCGGGCACTCACTCACCTCCCCCAGCCCGCACCTGACCACCCTCCCTCCTGGCCCGGGCCCCTGTGGCACTGTGCTGCTTGTCGCCTGCCCCTGGTGTGGCCTGCACCACTGGTTGATGGAGCTCCATGAAGACAGGGATCGACCAGGCGCCCCCTCGCCCCCGCGTCCGCATACAGGTGCGGATACGTTTACTACAGAGTCACGTGGGGAGCTCCTTCAACCACAGATGCCACGTGTCACCACCCACATTCTGACTCCAGGTCTGGAGTGGAGCCTGTGAGTTTGTGTTTCTACCAAGTTCCCTGGGGGGAGCTGTGGCTGCTCATCCGGGGACCACACCCTGAGAACCGCCGGTTTACTGGATGAGTGAGGGAGGCCACCCCCTGCCCTCCGACAACCGACGCTCGAGGTGATGACTTAAGACTTGTCCTCATGAAAGCATAGAAAGCCCCGAATGGGACCCCCCCACACACTACCCCAGACCTCACACATCCCACGGATAGGCAGCAGGGAAAAGTCAGGGTGACTTACCACGGTGGCCAGCTTCCTGTCTCCGGTGTTGTAGGTACAGGAAGTGATGAGCACATCCCCCTGGGGATCCAAGCCAATAGACGCTCATCAGCACCTGCGCACCTGGGGTAACAGGTGCACTGGGCCTGTCCCACGTTTGACCAAGCTACTGCATATGCCACCGCACGTGGTCATCCGCCCATTACTGAGGAACCCCGTGGTGGCCTCTGGGCCCCCACAGGTGCGGGTCAAAATCTGGGTGTCCCCGGGGACTGACTACCGTTGGCTTCTGTGGCTCCTGATCAGGTACACAGGTCACAGTAGTGCAGACTTTCGGCCATGTCACAGCCCATGGGTGAACTTGGGCCACCCCCTACCTGACCCGGGGGTCCCCTTCTGCATGATCGGGGCCCCGCCAGCGACCCCCATGCCCTTGTCTCTCCCTGAAGCTCTCAGAATTTGTGGCCGGCTGATCCGGCAGGAGGACGCAGGTCACCCTGGGTGCTGTCAGCTCAGGTCTCCTCTGAGGCCTCTCTATGACGTCCTGGTGAGTCTCACTGCAGGATGGCCCCAGACCCTGCCCTGCGTGGACGTGGTTCTAGAAGACCTTCCCGCGGCCTCTGCCATCCCCCATCCGCTTCTGTCTCTCCTCTAGGGGGGCACTCCCAGCCCTCCCGGCCTCCCCATTCTTGACTGGCACTCACCGGGTGCACAGACACGATCTTCTTCAACATGCGGATCTCCTGGGTGGGCAGAGGGGAGACTTCAGATGGCTGCAGACCCAGCCCCCAGCCCCCTGTCCTCCCCGGCTCTCTGGGGCTGTGCTCCCAGCCCCTCGGGGGGAAGCCAGGACTGGCTAAGTGTGGCCTCCGGCCAGGAAGGGATGAGAACAAGAAGGGGGTTACCCAGGACAGACTTACCATCGGACTGCCTGGGTCCCCTAAATTCTGCATTCAGCCGCATGCCAGAATCTACCATCAGAGTCCCTCCCCAGGATCGAATCTCCCAAAGAGAAGGGCTGGCCGCTGTGTGCTCTTGGATGTCGGGGCCTGGCCCAGGAGAGGGAACCCACTATAGGGGTGTTCCTATGGCCACGGGAGAGAGAAGGTGCCACAGGCCCCCAGCCAGGCCCTGAGCAGGCCCCTACCTGGAAGTGAGGGCTGTAGTGATCATCCCGGTTCACAACCTCCCTCTCTCGGCCGTCCCGGGCCAGCACGGTGACCACCTTTCTCCCGGTCAGGTGTGTGTGGAGCTGAGAGGCGAAGATGTGGATCCCTGAGGGAGGCAGGGCCTGCAGGGCAGGGGACGGCAGGGTCAGGGCCTGGCACGCGGGGGACCCGGGCTCTGGCTGCCGGCCCCGACCACAGGCCGTGGGACACAACGCCTAGTTTGCTTCCCCAGAAAGTCTGCATCGCCCGGCCTCATCTTTCTCCCTGGACGGCTAAGGCCCCCTTCTGGAAACGCAGCAGGGCATGAGTCGCCCGCAGAGCGATGTCATTGTCACCGCCCGGGTCTTCCGAAGCAGCAGAGGCTCGGGTGGGGGGTGGACAGTCTGCTTCCTTCTCTCTGAAGCCCCTGAAGGCTGCTCAGTCCACTATCCATTTACTCAACAGACTTTAAGGGGAGCCCCCCCCGGCAGGGGCCCATCAACGCGAGCACGGTGTGACCTCCTTGCTCTGCAGGCGCAGGTCTGGGGTGAGGCTGTTCCGTCCAGCGGCCGCCATGCGCCCACGCAAGCAGGCCCTCAGCCACCCTGCCGCACGACCTCGGGCAGCCCCCGGGGGGCCCTCCCCTGTCTCACAGCCGTGGCACTGACCACGTCCCATCGAGACGCCTTGCTTCACCTTCCAGGGAGAGGCCACTTTCCTGAACTTCAGGTGAATTTGGTTGAGACGGAACATTTCCTAAGGGGATTACACACTTGAAGCGTGTTCTTCACCACCTGTCACCTCCCTGACCGCACAGCACCGTGCCCTGCTAGGCGCTGTCCACAGTGTTGGCAGCTCAGGGAGCTCCCGGGGCCGTGGCTCTGTCACCAAGCGACCCCGGACAGCGGCGCTTCCTGCACGTGGGCTGATTTCTCTGTATGCCTTCCCCCTCGTGCCCTCCACCCACTACTGTCCTGCCCTCGGCATTAGGGAAACTTCGGGCCCCCTCACAATGATTTGAGGACTGGGGAACTGTACGGCCACACCTGTGACCGTTGGGCGTGGGGCCTGGGAGCCTCTGCTGACTCACGGGGCCCTGGGTTTCGCTACCCTGGAGGCTGGCCGCTCGCCCAGAGACGCGGGGGTCTGATGAGTGCACAGCGATGTGCCGTCCTGCGGCCTGGGGTCCCAAACACTATGCTTTTTCTTGGCTTGTCCATTTCGACAAGGATATCTCGACCACGCCAGCCTTTCGATTGCCAAATTTACGCCCCTTGGTGATCTGCTAAAGGAGAGGCAAGGCCAGACTCCGTGGAGCCCCTTCAACGAGTAGTCCACATAATGCAATTTTCAAGAAGAACGTACTGTTGGAAGGGGAAGAAGACTAAGGTGGGTTCTTTCTCTTTCCTCGCGGTAAAGTATTTGGAGACTTGCAAGAGAAGGCGGGTCTGTGTGCCCAGGCTGCCTAGAGGCATTCTCCAGGGCAGGGCTCATAGCATCCTGGGGCCCCTTTCCCTGGTGCGTCCTGAGTAGGCCACCCCCCAGCTCCAGGCCCACGCCACAGAGCCTTTCACGTGGCAGGAGGCGTCACCGATGGGAACTCTGGGGACATGGGAGGGAGCACCAGATGCTGGTCTCAGACCAAAGGAGCTCCTCTCCTGCATGGCTAATAGCTCTGTTTCTCTTTGGCTTGAGGACAGGTGGGAAGCCTGCAAGCTCGGGGGGCCCACGGGGAGCACAAGTCCACGTGGAGAAGCAACTCACTGGAGAGGCACATCCACTCCACACCTCATCACTGCAGCCTGGAGGGCGTTTTGTGAGATTTATTCAAACTGAAGCTCATGTCCTCTGTGCATGGCAATTTCTGGAATCTACCTGATAAAACGTGTCCCTGGCGTACAAGGAGTTCCCTGAAGCCTCTTGTGGTGGGTGAAAAGTTGGCGGAGGTCTGCACGCTGGCGACCAGGGGGAGGTGAACACAGGCGGGGCTGGGCGAGGCAGGGGAGCTCCGAGGGCGCAGAATCCGGGGAGTCTCTGCTGCTCCTTGGGAGCGTTTGCTCCAGGGTCTGCACCCCACCTATGTTCCCACGGTCCTGAGAACGGTGCCCCTGGCCTCGGCAGCGCAGCCCTGGTGAGGTCCACCGTGAAACCATGCTGGGCACAGGCATGTAGCCACCAAAAGGCAAGTTACAGGACAAAGGTTTCCTATTCAGCTTGTTCTCTCTCAGACACCACATATAAGGGCATGTAGCAATTTATCGTCTGGCTGTTTGAGGGGGAGGGGAGCGGGTGCTGCAGCTGAGGGGGGCTCTAACTGGCCCTGCAGTGCCTGCACTGTGAGTGGGGGATGCACATCTATTTTACTCACAGAATGAAAGCAGAGTTTCAAATGCAGCTCGAGGAAGCCCTGGCTGGCACGTGGTGTAGACCAGGTGGGAGCCAGGCTGTCCCTGGGGAGGGAGGCCCACAGAAAGGCTCCTTTGCACACACAGGGGAGGGAGGGCCGTGATGAAGCTGCAGGGTGGGGGATCCAAAGCCACGAAGCCGCCCTTCCTTGCTCGCCACCCGTAGGACCTCCTCCCGGGAGCCGGGGCGAGGGAGCGGCAGGTGCCAGGCCATGCCCCGCTTACCAGCTGGGTGCACTTGTCCGTGCAGTAGCCGGTAAGGACGAAGGCCGTCTCCTGCGGGGGAATGGCCATCACAGGCGTGTACACCAGCCCCAGCTCCATGATCCCCGCGTCGAAGCGCCGGAGCGTGGCCGTGTAGTGCAGGCGGATGCCTGAGGAGTCGCGCCGGCCTGGGAGGAAGAGGGGCGGAGGTGAGCGGATAGCGGCCCCACGGGTCGCCCCAGTGCTCGGGCTCCAGCAGACCCCCAGCCCCCCTCAGCCACGCCGGCCCCCCACACCTGCTCCCACCTGCGGCCCACACCAGAACCCAGCCGCCTTCGCTCCCACACCTGTTTATGCCAGGCACGCCCACATGGAAAGAGCCATTGTTTCTATGAAAACTAAGCGGATGCTTTGGAAAGTCTCGATAAAGGCGGGTAACTAAAACCGAGCGACGGCAGGCAGTGGGCCTGAGCTGCCTGCAGGTTATCTGGGATATCTGGGAGGCCGGCAGTTCCTCAGTTGGGCTTTGCAAAGGCTCCATGTTCCTCCCACGTGCAAAGGAATCTGAAGGGGAATCCACCTGCAGGACGACCTGTGGGGGCGTCTGTGCAAACAGGAGGGCAGGGAACGGCGGCTGCCCCGTCTCATAGAGGAGTCTCAGCGCCCTGGCCAAGGTGGGCCAGCGCGTGTGTCTGTGTGCTGAAGATGCACCTAAGGTGCATCCTTCTTGCTGCCTCCCACTTTACTCCTCTGATTACCGCCTGCAAGATCAAGGCGCACCCCGGGCACGCATCTGAGGACATCACGGGGCATTGAGCAGGAGCCTGGAGTGCTGGAGCAGGGCCGGTGTCTGCTGTTCCACCCCCTGGCTCGTGCACGGGCCCAGACTCCGCTTGGTCAACAGCAGTGTGCTGTGCCCTCTCAGACAAGTCACTGTCCCTCTCTGGGCCTCTCTGGTTCAAAGTTAAGAGCCTCTTCCAAAGGAGAACACCGTGCTTCTGCCCATCACTGTCCAGCCACACCTGCTGGCTCTTCTGGCGGTTTGCTAATTGGAGAGTCCATAAGCTCCCTGGGCAGGCCTCCTGGTGGTCACACGAAGCTGATGGCCAGAGGTCACGGACGCTGGCAGCCAGAGGCACGGCCACATAACCATGTGGCCTCCAGTAGCCCCCTGCTCTACCCCTGCCTGGAATCGGTCAGCCGAGTCCCTGAGTACTTCAGTGCAGAGCCCTGGCCTGGCCCCACAGGCCCAACCACTCAGAATGTACAGGGGAGCTGGGATATGGGCAGGGGAGGCCATGCAACTGAAGAATCATCCTCCCCAATTTACAGATGTGGAAACTGAGTCTCACAGCCTGAGCTGAAGACTGCCCAAGATCACAGGTCTGGAAAGTGACAGAGCTGCGATCTGAGCCCAGGGCGTTGCCAGGGATCTGGCGGTCTCCCTGCTCATTCGCCCTAAGGTGGAGCCAAGAACGCCCCTCTTGCCTCCGCCTCCCCCTTCCCTACTCCAGCCCCCCCGCACCCCCCCCCCCCCTGCCCTGCAACATCCAAACTCAGCCTCTGTGTCTCTGGGCTGGTTACATCAGAGGATAATAATAAAAAGGCGATGCAATTGGTTAAAATTCAGATGAGGATTAAATAATGAAATAATTGTGGCATTTTGATATTTATAGCCAAGCAGCCCATCTCCAGATTTGTGAAGTGACAGAGCGTCCTTATATTTGGCAAAGGATCCATAAATATAACCAGATAATCAGGAAGAGACAGACCTCCCTGACGGTTAAGGAGTTTTCAAAAATCCATTTGCTTTCAGGTTTTAAATGAGCAATAAATCCCACATCATGCTAAAGCCCCAGCTGACTTATGCCCTTCTCTGTGCACATTGTAGGTAATTCCAGTGGTGGCAGAAAATATTAGTTATGCCTCCGGGAGAAAGATCGCTGGCAGCCATTGGCGGGGCACAACCCGGGGCCCACATGCAGCTGGGAGCTGTGTGTGGGAGCTCTCCCAGCCTCAGGACAGCTGCGGGGGGCCAGGGGGCCCCCCGTCAGGGTCACGCAGCTCGAGAGGGACGGGCTGGGGCCCAGGCTGGAGCTCCCGTTCTCATCTCTCAGGCTATTTCTTCTCCTCGCTTCCACAAATGAAAGTAAGTGTCCTTTTAAAGAGAGAGAGGGAATGGGTTATGTGGCCGCATGTGGTGGAAGGTGCTGGTGTTGCAGACGAAACGTTTCAGTTCCTGACCCCGTTACAACTGGCATCACCATCCTAAAGATCGACTCTCGTTGTCCGCCTGCAGGTGCAGGGTGATCCAGCAGCTACTGCTGCACAGGGCAGACCTCACTAACGAATGACAGTGCTACCCCGCTGGGCCCTGGACAGCCTCAGATGCGTCTCCGACAGGGAGCCCCATGCAGCTGCGGAGAATCCACTGGAGGAGCCCACAAGCAAAGCCTGTTTGCCACCCCCGACCCGAAAACATGTGCATAGAAAATCCCAGACGCGTGCTTAGATGCAAGCGTGCCTTTGCTCTGCTGGAATGTGTTTTGAGAAGCCAGGGAGGAGCACCCAGCCGGAAATGCTCCCAGTTGAGCCAGGGCTCTTCCCTCGACCTGAAAATAATCCCGGGGGCAGTGCCTCCCAGGGCTCAGGCCGTCAGAAGGTGGGTTCTGGGCCCTGGATGGCCTGCACCTGCCGTCCTTCCAGGTGCCCTGTTGTGACCCAGCCTGTTGTGGGGACGGCAGATACATCGTGCCTGGGTGCCGGCGGCCACCCTGTTGGGGAGGGGCAGCTGGGGACGAGAGGTAGCTACTGGTCTGAGCAGCCTCGGAGAAGTGGGACTTCCAGGGAAATAGGGCACAGCGCTCCAGCCCGGGACCTCTCTTCACTGACCTTGAACCTGTTGACCCCACTACAGAGCAAGGAGGGGGTGTGGGGAGGAGGTGGGCCACTTAGACTCCGACCAAACTGGTATCTAAGTGATTCCTTATGGCTTTGGAGTCCGACCAACCTTGCGGGTTCAAGTGCAGTGCAGCCACCAGAGAACTGTGACCGGGGTCCCCGCCGGCCTAGACCCAGACCTCCTGGCCCCACCTACTCACTTCATGGCCCCGGTGGGAGTCCCTTCAGCCTGGGCCTTAATTTCCTCATCTGCAGATGGGCATGCAAGAAGCCTCTGCCTCCCTTTTCCAGAGGGTGGTACCTGGCAATGGGTGCTTGTGAGGAAGATGGGGGTGCTGCACCCCCACCGTGTGGGGTGCAACGATGAGCCGGCCGGACGGGGCCCTGCCCCAGGGAGCCCACTACAGTCTCCAGAGAGGAACAGAAGGAAAGGCGTAAGAGGGGCGCCTGCCTCCATGGGTCGTAAGGAGGCTGCACTGCAGGGAGAGGGGGTCCAGTGCTGGGCAGACACCCCAGTCACCTCCCAGAATGGGCATGTCCGAGCCCGAGGACTCCGAAGGGAGGACAGAGGCGGGGGTAGAAACACATGCTTAGAACTCCCTACCTTGGATCTTCAGCGGGTTGTGGTAGTGAACTTCTAGACGGAGATATCTGGAAGACCCGGGGCCCCCAAAGGCAAGGCCTGCTTCCTCCGGGTAGTAAAAGGCCTGCGGGGGATGGGTGGGGGGTGAGGAATCAGACACAGGCAAACTGGTGTCTCACAAGGGGTTCCTCCCAGACGGGGCTTGGGGCAAACCCACCCAGCTGTTGGGGCCTGAGTTGTGGTGGCGGGTGTTGGCGGGGCAGCGGGATTAGAATGGTGCTCTCCCGCTGATGGGCAGCTCACTACCAGCCCACCCGGATATCCTATTCAACTCGAGGTCAGGGAGTAGGGGGAGCTGGTGTCCCGGGGGTGAGCCTACCCCCCAGGCCCTGCGCATGGCCCTGCCTCGCCCTCCTCTGCATCGGTGGAAGCCCTGTGGATGCAGCCCGCGGAGGTCACAGCACCTGCCACCCACCCGCCAGGACCACCCGGTGCACCCTGTGCACAAACGCCCAAGTCCAGTGGGGAAGCAAGATCAATACTCACCAAGTACCTACGCTCAAATTTTGCATTTTTATAGAACAGCCACAAAGGCTGGAAAAAGCCTCGTGGCCCAAGAGGGCTGGAAGAGAGACCGAGCTGGGGGTGGCGTTATGTGGGCGGGGCCCTCTCCGGTGGCCTCACGAGCGCCCTCTGGAGCCCCCTGCTCGGAGGCCCTCAGAGGTGGGGGGACACAGGGTGGAGGAGTTGGGGCCCCCACGGCTCCGGGGAGGCGCAGGGCCCGCACCTTGGCACCCAGCGCCCAGGCGGCTAGCACGTGGCGGCAGTAATTGAGATGGTCAGGCTTCATCTTGGAGTCGCAGGGCCCGCTGAACTGAGGGAAGCTCTCGAACTGGGCGGTGCACTGGAAGACCTCCATGTGGTGGACCAGGGCTTCGTTGCCCTTGGTGACAATGGGCTCGTACTGGGGGAGCGGGAGGGCACTGAGCCTGGGGCCACGGACACCTGCCTGCCCGCCAGCAGCGCCCCCCCCCCCGTGGGCCTCTACTTGCCCATCTGTAAAATGGGAGGGTTAAGGGAAGCAATTTCCAGGGGCGCTTCTGGGGCCCAGGGCTTTGAAGGGGGAGCCACCAACCCGAAACCAGGCAGAATCTGCCAGAAGCCCACAAAGAGCTCCAGAGTGAAGGGCATAAGGATCGCCGCAAGTCATTTCCCGATAAGGTGGGGACAGGAAGGTGTCCTCATGTAAGCGTGGCCGTGGCCAGGCAAGGACACAGAGGCTGCCCTGAGGCCAAGCCTGAGCCAGTAGACCAGGCTGGCCACCCCTGTGTGACTTTGGGCACTCGCACAATGTCTCTGGGCTGCACTTTCTGTGTTGAGCATGCACCACTGTGGAGATGGAGGGGGTCCCTGCCTCCCTGTCCCCCAGGGCCAGGAAGAGAGCTGTTGCCCTCACATCGTATCTCTGGGTGGGTGTTTAGAGCAATTGAGCTGCCTTTTCATGAAGGGGGATGTGACCTGACAGATAGACAGAGGCCCTTCTAGTCCCAGGGGAAGACGCAGAAATCAAAACATCAGTGTCCTTTGGTCCAGTCTGGGCAGTTGGGGGCACAGGTGCCCTGGGAGGCTGGGGGCTGAGCAGGTGACAGGGTGCCTGGGGTTCAGGCAATGGGGGGACCCCTGGTGCAAGGGGTTCATGAACCATGAATGGCTTTCCAGGACAAGGATGTCTCCCCAGCGGCCTCTGAGGCCCCAGGAGGAAGCAGAGATGGGCCCTGGGACCCTCCTCCCCCCCAGGTACCATGACAATGTGGTGCCGGGAGAAGCCATCTGGAAGCTCGGTGATGTAGCACCAGTATGTGGTCTTCTGGCTGGGGATCAGGATGTCCGGGGTGTGGATCTCCATGGAGTGCATGTCCGAGGGCAAGGCCGGGACGGAGATGTTGGGCTTTAGCAGCTGCACCCTCTGCAGCCCAGTCTGCAGCGCCGACGTGTTGATGGCCTCCAGCGACCTGAAAGGCTCCTCCAAGATCCCATACACCAGGTGGACGGTGCCATCCTGCAGCCGAGACACGCAGACCCCCCCGCCCCACCAGAGCTGGGCTCCCGTAACCGGGCACTGCTAGGTCCCTGCCACCTCACCTGGCAGGTGACATGCCCGGCTCCTGTCTCTGTGAAGGAGGGCGTCTTTGAGGATGCAGCTGAGATTCCATCCCTGGCTAATCACCCCCCAGCCCACAGCTTGCACCAGGCATTAAATACATGTTTTCTTTGCAAATATGATCTATCCACATTCGCTAAGCAACCATTCTGCCAGCCACTGCTGAGCCGCCTGAGAGCCAGACCGGCTGGCCCCCCTCAGATATCTGTCCCCTCCACCACCCCCAGGGCCACCGGGGATCAGGTGTGGGTCATTTCCTCAGGTCCAGTGAACAGCCTGGCATGAGAAGTCAATGACCCCGTGAAGGGAAAAACACCAAACTGGGGCTTCTCAACAGTCGCAATGAGCTTGGAGAGTTGTGCTGTCCCACTGAGGCCGGACAGTGCAGACATAGAAAGTTCTAGTCGGCACCGTGCTAGAGGTCACAGACAGACCCAAGGAGGCGAGAGTCTGGGCTTGGCTTTCCCCCACCATGCTGCCAGGAATGTCCGCCTGTGTCTACACGTAGGATGTGGGCCTACATGGATGTGTTTTCTGGGCACCAGTGGATGCGTGCGTATGTTTGTATTCGTGGTGGGCAGCCCCTTTGCTCTCTGAGTTTACATAAACCTGGGGCCCCTGTGACAGCTCTCACCTAAGGACATATCAGAGCCTCAGGCTGTGGGCTCCCCCACACCCCGAGGCTCTGAGCTGAGCGCACGTACGCCGTGGCTGCACCCCGTGCAAAGTCCTTGGAGAGGGTCCTCTGCCTCTCCTTCCTTGCCTCGTCCATGGGGACTGTGGCTCAGGAGTGTAAGGACTCCAGGGGCTGCCGTTGGTCCCCGAGCCAGTCCTTCCCCTGTCTGGCCTCAATCTCCTTGTCTGGCACACAAACAGCCCATCACTGCCAGACCGGAAAGATTACACACGGTGACCAAGGTCAAAGTGCGCTGGAAAATTAAAAGAATTTTGTCTTCAAGGCCAAGCTGGGTGGTTTTTCCCTAATGGGTGTGTTGGAGCAGCTCGAGAAGCCTATGGGGTTTTTAGGATCCACGGTGGCTCTGAACTCCTAGACGGAGCTGCTAGGGCCTTGCAGGTCACCCTGCCTCTCCTGCACTTTATAGACATGTCAACCAAGGAGGTCTGGAGGGGGGAAGGACCTGTCCCAAGCCTCGCAGCCCATTGGCAACCGGACAGTTAGTGAAACCGGGTCTCCTGGGCTCTTTCCAGAATTCCACCTGAAGATGAGGGACCAGAAGGAAAGAAAGTTGGGAGCAAAGATCATTGTGGTCCCAGTTTGAGAGGCTTCGGGGCAGGACCCGAATCTAGAAATATCTCGGCTACGAGTCAGTCAGGAGTACTTCTTGAAGGGACCAGAGGCTGATGGCAGAGCTGGTCGGTCCCTTGTCCTCACCCAGCACCTCTGAGGTCCCTCCCTGGCTTTCTCTCTGTGCACAACGGGGCCCAGGGGCGCTGCCCTAGGTCGTTGGGGTACTCCACGATCTCCTGAGCACATGGGGCCACCACCCACCTCAATGAGGTAATCCTTGGGGTCACAGGTGCCGAAGGGCCTCTTGAAGAGCAGACACAGGCCTTCTGGTGTCCTCTGCGCCTGCAGCAGCTGGTAATCCTGCTGGGAATCCAGGTGGATCTGTCCCCACTGGTCACTCCAGGCATCCTGCAGAGACAAATTCTGACCCTGAACACCAGGGCCAAGCAGTAGGGCCGGAGCTCAAGGTTGGTTGCTCCCAGTGTGGCTGTGGGTCCGGGGAGTGCTCCTGGGTTCGCGGGGGGGGGTCACTCCCACTTTCTGGGTCTGGCTGGAGATGGCAGAATCAAGCTCTAATCCCACTCGCTTCCTCTGCTCCTTGAAGCAGGGCTCTCAAATGCCAACGAGGATTCACCAGGGCTGGGTAAGGACAGACATCTCTCCACACATCTCTGAGACCCCAGGTGAAAGGCAGAGCTGGGATGGGGACTTGGGCCCTGGACACCCCAGCGTACCAGGACAGTGTGCCCCGAGAAGCCATCCAGAGCACGTTCCCAGACCTCTGGGCAACCAGAAGGTGCCATGATGGGGAATGGGTACCTTGGACAAATACCGCTCCCCTTGGTCTGCAGAGGGAGGGGTCGTGACAGCACCTGGAGCCATAGAAAGGGGACACATGGAGACTGGGCCAGATGGGGGAAGCAAGGGAGAAACCAGCTGGGGGGTTTAAGGTGGCTCTCTCTCCCCGGTGCCCACCCAGACCTCGAGCACCCCTGAGAGTGAGCTCCACCTTAAACACTTAAACAGAGCCCCAGGCCTCTTGCTCCCCTCACCTAGCCCTAGCTCTGCCTGGAGAGAGTAAACTGAGGCCCAGGGAGGAAGTGGGCCTGCTGCATTTTGCCGGGACGTTAGTAGGTGGTGGATCTGGCCAACCCTGGCCTGCCCCTACCACCCTCCCTCCCCTACTCCTGTGCACCTGGCTGTCAGGCCTAACAGTCCAGGGCCCTTCAGGCCAGTGTAGGGAAAGAAATCACCTGCAGAGGATGCTCAGAAGGAGGGAAGAACCACCCCCACCCCCACCCCCCAGGCCCCCGCCACAAGACTCTGTTCCCATTCAGGAGCACCACGAGCCCTTGGCCTTAGGATTCTTTTTAACCCCGTACCCAGGCCTAAAGCATGTTCTCTTCATTTCCTTGAGAAAGAAAGAAACCTGCAAAAGAGTTTGCAAAATTTCCCCTAGAGAAAAGCACCACCGCGAAGCTCCTGCTAAGGGACACTACCCATTTGCAGGACTAATTTTAAACAGAGGCAGAAAGTTAGTTTGATCTTCAGCTGGAAATCTAGAATATATTTGTTGAATATACGGCTCAAGGAGGAAAAACAAGTCTGACATTTGTTTGCACAGGAATTTGTTGTGCAAATTAATCTCGCAGCGTGGGGGAGGGCGAAGTCACCCTGGCTCTCTTGGCAGCCAGGAAAAGCTGCCCCAAGAGGAGCTAGCACTCCTGATTCAGGGGCCCAGGGACTCCTCTGGGAATGGCTGATGGCTCAGAGCTGGGGCTGTCCCAGGTCTTTCTGGGCTGGGATCCCGCTGAGCCACGGAGCATCCTTGTGCGGGGGAGATAGCGCAGCCAGATCTGGGCCCCCACCCGGCACCTCCACCCTGTCCTACCTGGGCGGCCCCAAGCATTTGGCTCCAGCTCGCTTGCTCAGCCTCCAGCCGCCCCTGCTGAGCTGTGGTGGGGGCTGGGTGGAGCACCGCTGGGCTCCAGCAATATCAGCCGCCGTCAACTCCCCTGAACTCACAACAACCCAAAAATGTGGAGGGGGATTACTGTCCCCATCCCTCGATAAGGAAACCAAGTCCTGGGGCCAGGAGCTGGCTGCACAAGTCAGGACTCCTAGCTCGGCTCCGACAGGTTCCCCCATTGAAGTGAAGTAAGAGGATCCCTCCTCACAGATGAACCAAGTGCCTCCTGACTTAAAAAAAAAAGTTTAACCCTCCTGTGTATGTTTTTGGGGAGAGAGGTGGGCTTCATCCCCATAGAGGTCCTGGCGACCAGGCCCATTTGGGGCAGAAGGCGGGAGGAATGGCTCACGGCGGCTGGCAGCCCCCGCCCACCTGCACCTCCCTTCACCTTGTAGAGCACCCCAAAGCCTCTCTATCTCTGGTTTGGAGGGAAACCTCTCCTTCCTCCACACTTTCCAGGAAGAAGAGGGGTACATTTGGAGGCAAGGAGTCAAGAGCACATCCTGTTTCAGGTCAGCTCCCAAACTTAGGGAGCAGCCAAAAGGCCTTCCAGATTGTTCCACACCTGGGCCGGTGGGGGGCGGGGTGTCTGCACCTGCTCACTTCACCCTCGTGTGCGAGCTAGGTCCGTAGATGCTGTGTCCTGGGCAGTGGGTGTGCGGGCCTGGTGCTGTGCTCAGCCACGTGCGACCCCTAGGCCCACGGGCGCGGGGTGTGCAGCAGGGTGCGCTGGGTGGTGTTGGCGCCGAGGGGAGACGTGGGGTCCGCCCTCACGAGGTGGGGGCAGTGTAGTACCTTCATTTATGTGATGTGTGTGTCCTTGGGGCGCAGCAGCGCTCCTTGGGTGCTCTGCGTTCTGTTTTGGAGTGTGCGGTCAGAGACCATGGTGGGCATCTATCTCCCATTTTGTCTTCAGGTGGGCAGCCCTGAGACGCCCAAGCTTGGGACACGGACTCTGCTATGATCAGAGGGAAGAGGAATGGAGAGGCGGGAGAATTTCCTTTGCTGGGTTAAGGGGAGTGAGTGTAGGATGAAGGTCGGGTGGGGGCTGGGTAGGGACAAGGTCAGGAGCACGGGGGCGGCGGGGAAAAACTTACCCCACAATAGGCGTTGTCCCCGTCGGTCCAGAGCACGACCAGGTCAGCGTTCTCCAGCTCCCCACGGTCCGACATCCCAAACAGGACCCCGGCCTTGAGCTCCTGCACCAGGAGCTGGAAGTAGACGGTCTCCTGTGTGTAGCTGATGTTCCAGGAGAGCTCCAGGGACCCCTCGGGGTCCAGGGATATTCGGTAGGGGAAGGGACTCTCAGGGGGTGCCGAGCTCTGCAGTGCGGCCACCAGGATGACCAGGAAGACAGCCACCGCCGTGCCATACATGGAGGCCGCCTCGCGCATGCTGGGACTGGGGACCTGCATGGCTCCGTGAGCTCGGCCGCCCCACTGGGACATTTATGTCCCGGCCCTCCAGGGGGTGGGCCCAGGCTGCACCGCTAATCACATTTGTCTGGTGGGGAATTCAATTGTCCCGGTGACCCTCCCAGCAGCCTGTGCCCTGGGGCAAACCCTTTGCCTCCCTTGCTCTCCTAATTGTCACTAATGACACATGGGCATCATCAGTGGGAATCGAAGCCGACTGGCTGATTCGCTTCCCTCGAATCGTCTCTAAAGAGCTGTCGGGAGTGGGGCCCCTCCTAGCAGCCAAAAGGCCTTCCAGATGCCTCCGGCCGGGGACCGGGCTGACCAGCAGGCAGGCCGTCTGGTCCTGTCCCGACGGGGTTGGCAGGATGGGCCCCAGGTGACAGATGATCCTGTGCGTGGACATCACCCCGTCCACGGACGTTCAGACTGAGGCTCCAAGGCCTTATTTCCGAGGTGACCAGGGAGTAAGGAGCCTTCGCGGCTGGGGGCCCGGCCCAGTGAGCCGTTTCTACGAGGCTGGAGGGTGGACCAATTTCAGGCTAAACATAAAAGACGGTCCCCACATAGTCCCTGTGTTTAGACATTCTCTCCATGGCCTGCTGTTCCCACTCTGGTCGCCTATTTCCTCACACGCTCCAGCTGGTGCCACGGCTGCTCCAGCAGGAGTGGGTGCGTTGCTAGGCGCTGGGGCCAGAGGGCACGGGGTGCGTGGCTGGGGGACAGGCTTTGCAGGAAAGGGTGCAAGTGACGGGCCTGCTTCCCTATCATCAAAGCTCCCAAACTTAGGACGTGCCTCAGCCTAGAGCGTACCCAGCCCGGATGTGAACCCTCCCAGGCCGGTGCCTATAGCACTGTTTCTCCAAAGGGCCTGCCACAGGGCCTTTGCACAGACCCATTGGTGCAGCACCCCAAGTCCCTCCCATCCTCCTCTGCAGGGTGGACTGAGCCTACTTGTGCAGCTACCTCCAGGAAGTTCTCCCTGATCGCCTCTGCTCTGACTTCTAGTCCCTCCCCCCAGGCACCTGACTCCCTGTCTCCCTCCCTCCGTTCCTTCTTCCTCCTCCTCCTCTTCCTCCCCTCTTTGGACAAACCCAGACCCCAACCATAGGAACACAGGGATGCCACCAGCTGGCGCCTGACTTTTAGTCCTCAGGTATCTGCAGAGGCCAGCCTGGAGCAGGCCGTGCTGGGCTCAGGTTTTGCTCTGAACCCTGTTCCTTAGGAAGGAATGACTGTCTATGTGAAGATGGAATTTAGGGAACATTCCAGCCCTCTCTGGGCCCTGGAGGTGGTGCTTCCTGCCTCACGGGGACCGGGCTGCCCTGCAAAGCCAAACCAGGCAGAAGGAAGACACACGGAGGCCATGGAACCCTCCCCTCTACTGCAGGTGCACCCACGGGTCTGGGTAGGTGAGAGATGGACACAGGAAGTCCTGGGGCCCATCACTGTCGAGAAATGGGCACCTAAATGGCTGCTGTCCATGCACAGGATCATCTGTCCTGTCCCCCACCCACGGGGGGACAAGCCCAGGTGGCAGAGCAGGGACCAGAGAGATAAGGGTTGGTTGAGTGAATGAGACCCGAGTGTGTGGGGGGGGGTCACAGATGTGCAAAGATGACGGGCCACCAGACCAGGCCCCGGTGGGGCTGGAGAGGTCACAGACGCCGAGCACGAGGGAGAAGTCGGAACCCAGGGAGGCCCCTGGGCCTGGGGCAACAGGCAAGCCTCCCGGAGGCCGGGGAGGGACGTAGCACCTAGGAGGACAGCATTCTGGTGGTCGGGGGCACCGGGGGGTGTCTGGCTACAGGACCAGTCCCAGAGGCCTTCAGGCAAAGCTGCCTTGCACAGAAGACAGGCGGGCCCACCCGAAGGCCGCCCCGAGAGGGGGCAGCCCACATTCTCCAAACTGCCCTATAAGCAGATGTCTGGCATTTGAGATCAAGACTCGCCCCGGACAGTCCCCACCGCGATCAGGGAGTGGCCACAGCGAAGGGGTGGGGCCGGCTCCTTGGGTGGCACGTGAGTCAGCACAGGGAAAGTGGGGGTGCCCCGGCTGTGGGCGAGCCTCCCAGCGGCCTTGGTACCACCAGCCAGGTGGCTCCAGTTGGAAGACAGGCAGAACGAGCAGCGGCTCCCTACTCTGGGGCAGTGAAAGCCCAAGGCCTTCATGGTGCTCCTCCCTGGGCGGCAGAGCTCTGGGTCCGAATCCTGCTGAGTCCCAGCCGGGCATCCTTGGGGAAGCCCTTCTCCACCCAGATCACCAGAGGACTCGGGCGCCACAATGATTTATCTTCTGGCTGTTCTCAGCCCGGCGGCCTGGGAGCGAAAGCCCAGATTGGGGTCGGGGGCCCCGGGATGCAGGACCTCGGGCAGCCGAGCACACCTCCGTTCCTCTCTGGATACGGGGAGATCAACAGATGCTCCAAGTTGCTCCTCCTAAAGGAGGGAAGGTCTGTGCAGCTCTTAGTAAACAGCAGAGTGCTATCTATGTACACACGTTTATTTTTAACAGGATTCCAAAGGCACTCTCTTTCTCTAGCTGGGAACTGGGCTGGGGCGCTGGCGTTCCTGTTGCAGTTGACAAAGCTGAGGCAGCGATCGCAGAAATCATAATTACCAAGGACTAGGAATCAGCAGGAGCTAGAAAGCAGGTCCACGCCCAGCCTGCCACCTGCTTCCTTCCGTGTCACCCCCCACCCCCCGCCCCCGCCAGCCTCGGGGCGGGAGCCATGACTGTCCTCAGACACCAGGACACCGGGCCTCAGAGAGGTTAACAACCGGGCCAGGCCAGGTACCAGGTCAAGGACCCCAAAGTGTCCTTCTAGCAAGGGACAAGGGTAGGGGGAGGATGCTGCACTGGGAGGAGGCCAAGGTCAGGGACATTCCACTGGAGTCAAGAGGAAGGGACACTCGGATGAGAAATGCAACCAGGGGGAAAAGCTGGAGTGGCTCTGGGCCCCGCAGGGGGAGGGAGGGACCCGGGCCAATCGCAGGGCCTCTGCCGCGATGTGCCGCTCCTTGCAGTAATGGATTTTTACAAACAGGCAATTCGAGCTGGGATAAGGAAGCAGCGCTCAGCTGTCCTCCCGCCCCAGCCCGCATCCGGTGACCCACCTGTCCGTCCCGGGTGCCCCATGGACACCTCAAGTGCTGAGCCGCACAGCCCCCTCCCGCATGCCCTCTGACCCCTGCTCCCAGGCCCACCTGGCTCAGCACTGGTGTTTAGGTACCAGTTGCCCTGCAGAGGCAGGGTGGGTTGCGGGTGGCACCCAGGGCGTCGCCGGCACCCTGTCAGGAAATAAACACCGCCCGCTGCCCAGGGCCTGCCTCCCCTCCAAGGCACTTCGATGGCTGACCTCATTTGGAACCAGTCTCAGCGTTTTAATAAGCCCTTTGCTTTTCTGCATCTCTCCGGCACTGTCATCCTCTGCGTGTAATCCCCCATTGCCTCTGCCACGTGAGGCTGGCTCCGGCTAGCTTCCCGATGCCCAGATTGCAGCAAGTGGGGGGAACTGAAGCCAGGGGTGGGGGGGTGGCCATAAGCCACATGGGCTAGGCCAGGCCAGGCCACTCCCCAGAGACCACAGGGCGGCTGCAGGCTGGGCCCCTTTGGCTTGGGAAGGAACAATCCAGCATTCTACCCGAGGGGAGAAGCAGACACGGGGCTGTGGAGGGCTGACTGGGGGCTGCCCGCAGATCAGGCCCACCTCCGGGTGACGCAGCCCTCACACCCCTCCCTGGTCCTGCGCAGCTGGGAGCTGCCACACCCCATGTGACCCTGACATCCACCATCAGCTGCTGCAGAACACCAGGGACTGGGCTGGAACCACCCAGCCCAGGACCCTCTGGCCTGGCCCCCGCTCCTTAAGCCTCAGCCAAGCAAACACAACTCGGGCCCCCGGGTCGGAGAGGCCTGTACCCCAGCCCCCTGCCCCCCACACCCACTCGGGGGCAGGCGTGTTTGGAAATCAGATCAGGGACGCTGCAGGGCAGCACCTTGCAGGCTCAGTGCAAACCACATCTGAGGTCCTGCCCCGGGGGAGAACAGCCGCATCTGTGTCCCGGGGTGGGGACACTGGGGACACGGCCGGGGGAGTGCTGTCCCTTGACATTTAGATGACTGTCACCAGCAGGAACGGGTTCTTGCCCCGGTGAAAGTGACAGAGGGGGAGAGGCAGGAACACAGGACTTAACCTCTCTGTACCTGTTTGTTCATCTCACTTTGGGCCGTGGCGGGGGGGTGGGTGGTGATGGAGCCGCGCTCACAGGAGGGGCCCAGCTTCTGGGACAGCCCCCCCCCCGCCCGACTCCGTCGCTGCCGGCTCTCTGTTACTATTCAAGTGCACATGTGCCCCAAATAGGTCACACGGCAAGTAAAACCCCCAGAATCCCCTCCTCAAAAAATAACCACTATCAGGCGCCTAGGAAGCTCAGTCAAAGTGTCTGCCTTCGGCTCAGGTTATGATCCCGGAGTCCTGGGATGGAGCCCCGCATCAGGTTCTCTGCTCAGCGGGGAGCCTGCTTCTCCCTCTCCCTCTGCCTGCAGCTCCCCCTGCAGCTCCCCCTTGCCGCTCTCCCTGCTCTCACTCTCACTGTCAAATAAATAAATAAAATCTTAAAAAAAAAAATAACCACTATTGGGCGCCTGGGTGGCTCAGTTGGTTAGTGACTGCCTTCGGCTCAGGTCATGATCCTGGAGTCCCCGGATTGAGTCCCGCCTCGGGCTCCCTGCTTGGCAGGGAGTCTGCTTCGCTCTCTGACCCGCTCCCCTCTCATGTGCTCTCTCTCATTCTCTCTCTCTCAAATAAATAAATAAAATCTTAAAAAAAAAAATAACCACTATTAACAGCTCTGTGCATCCTATCTCAGAATCCCTTTTCACTATTTAAATATATTTCTAACTTTCGTTCATTATTTATTATTTATTGGTATATCATGTGTATTACATGATATAACATTTACCATCGTAACCATTTTTAAGTGCACAGTGCAGGGCATGAAGCACATTCCCACTGTTGTGCAGCTGTCCTCTCCATTGGTCTCCAGAACTTTCCATCTTCCTAAACTGAACCCTGTCTGTCCCCGTGGAACACAGACCCCTTCCCTCCCCCCAGCCCCGGCCCCCACCCTCTACTCTCCATCTCCATGGATCTGACCCCTCTGGGGTCCTCCGAATCCTATAGGATTTGCCCTTTTGTGGCTGCCTTATTTCACTCCGCCTCAGGTCCTCGAGGCTCTCCCATGGTGTAGCAGGTATCACAGTGCCTTCCTTTTGAAGGCTCAGTGACAGTTCGTGGTGCGGACAGACCCTGCTTTGTTGGTCCATCATCCGCTGATGGACACTTGGCTGTCGTGAAGGTGCCACTCTGGACATCGATGTGCACACATTTGTTCGAGTCCCTGTTTTCAGTTCTTGGAGGCTCCTGGCGGAAACAGGATTGCTGACTCATGTAAGAACCCTGTGTTCTCGTGGATGCATCGGTGCTTCTCACTGGCGTACCAGACACTTGCTCCGGACCTTTCCACCTCCGTGTTGGACGCACATCAACTGTTAACACACCCGGCTGACCTTGCTCCTTTGACTAGCTCTCAAGTGTTCCAGCATAGCGGTGCTCCGATCGATGTGACCAGCTCCCCGTTGGCAAATATTTGGGTTGTTTGTTTTTTAATTAAACTAGCAGGGGTAGTGGTGCACTGAATGCTCATGCATGGCTATCCTTTGTCCTTGGGCCTATGATTTCTCAGTATAAATCCCTGGAAGTTGAACCTTGTTTGGGGGTGGCGGGGGTGGGTCCGAAGGCAGCTGAAGTCATTCCCAAGGCTCAAAGGCCTTGATCAAGGAGCTCGTCCAACCACTGACTGCTCTCTGCCACCCACCGAGGACAAAACTGCCTCCCTGGAACAAACAGTTTCTTACAGGTAAGTAGGTTTCAACCTTGTTGATGGGCCAAATTTGCTATTGGACCAGGCAGCCGCCCTCCGGCTACAATCAAAAGCATCACATACATAAACACAAATTCAATAAAGCCCAAGGCCTCGCCATCTGCTTTTCAAA